GCTATATACACAGGAAAAGGGGGTCCACCCCCCGCAGGGATAGGGAAAGGGAAAAAAGGGGACAAAAGGGAACAAAAGGGACACCAAACAGGTATACTAGATCGAACTATACTAATAACTAACAAAACAGATCTCACCACGTCCCTTAGAACAGCAGGATCGGCAGTCACAGCCAGCACTCTCCAAACCCCCACGTGGTAGGACAGCGGACTCTGCAGGCCTCAGCTTTAGATAAGCGAGACCAACGCAGGGACTCACTGTTCCCAGACCTCGCCGGAAGAGAAGAGAGCGAGGTCTCTAATCTCTGACTTATTTATACTCTGGTTTACGTAAAAATTGTGTGGAATACTGGGTACTTGGCTCCTTCCTTGGTTATAAACTGGTCACCAAGGAAGGCCTAGACTAAAACCATCACATTCTCCACTCCTTATTCTATACTATTTTTACGTAAAACTTATATTTTTGCGTTCATTTATATTCTGCGTATATATACACATATATATGTTTGTATATAGTTCTTGTTCATTTTTCAGAGTATTCATTTTCTTGTAGAAGAATCAGCGTTAGCATCAGGATTGGTTTGGTTTTCATTCTTGGCTTTTAGGTCACAATCACAGTTTTCGTTCTTAGGGTTTGTTCTTTGGTTTGGGCTGGTTTATTATTGGATACCGGCATTAATTGTTCAGGCTTTTCTTGTCTGGTGACTGGTTTCCTGCAAAACACAACTCAAAGCACATGATTAGTTTTTCCTCAAGGTTAAATTTTCTTGGGGCACGCAGTGGATCTTTCTATTTTTTTTCATTACTCACTAGGTATTTCCGGGCTTTTGAGCGAAAACAATTTCACGAATGGGTTTGTCTTGGCTTGAGGAAGGAGTAATCTAAACAGTCTTTCCTAACATATTTCTTAGATGGATTACTGGAACTTTGTCTCCATCTACAGTGTGGAGGGATTCTGCTTGGGCAGGACTAGCTCGATTGACAGAGCCTTTAGTGTTAACAAGCCAGGTGGCTTTGGCTAAGTGCTTGTTCTAGTTCTTGAAAGTACTCTCACCTAGTGCTTTCAGAGTTGTTTTTAACAG